ACCCAGATCCTTTACATTGCCTTTTCGTTCTATGTTATGATTTGCCTGAGTTTTGTACGTGGTTTCCGTTTTTATATTTTCATTTTTTCCATAGCGCATGAGCTGGAACTTATCTTCGTTAAACACCATATTATTTTCTGTAGCCCATAGAAAGACCTGATCTACATCTGACTGGAGGTTCGCCGTGTCCTCTATGTTGCCTACTCTCATGAAGATCCTAGTGTCATCTGCAAAGGATGATACAGTGCTATATGTTGTGTTCTTGTCTATGTCCGAAATGAGGATGAGAAAAAGTACTGGAGCAAGCACAGTACCCTGGGGGACTGAGCTCTTCACGGTTGATGGGCTGGATTTTATTTTGTTGACTATTACACATTGGAGGCTGACTCCATACACAGTTTCAAATGCAGATATGATAGAGCCCAGTAGGTTCAGGAATCTGTACATCAGTTGATTGCCAGTTGAGAGGTGGGACCAAAGAGCCAGAGCTCAACCCCCGCAACCACAACTAGGTGAGTATACACACAAACACACACATGCACACACACACGTACACACGTACACACACACACACACACACAAACATACACACACTAATGCCTCTATTCACCTTGCAGTAAATAGGAACCTGAAAGTCAGGAAGCTGCTAAAGGCTGCATCTTGGGGATGTGTGTGTGTGTGTTAGATAAAAATATATGTTGTTTAGATATGATGGAGGAAAAGAGGCTGAGAGTTGGTACATTAGACAATCGACGCTTAGAAAGGCGGGGTCCAAGAGCTAACAGCTAAATCTTGGGAATAATAAATTAAAATATTTAATACACACACATACATGTTTCACATGAATTTGGCTGAGGGCTGATGGCCCCGTCGACGGGGCAGGAAGTCGGCGGTTGATCAAAGGCCTCCCACATCCTCCACATACCTGAGGATTATTCCGGCTGAATTTTAAACGGAAGTAATGTCTTGGTATTTACGGCTTCAGCGGGTGGGTGGGTCCGTGGGTTTATTACACTATGAGTGAAAACAATCGCCTATTCTCTATTTTATATTGCCGCTTGTAGAGCTAGAAGCTGTTGCCTCTTGTGTGCGTTGCACAAGGGGATTAATATCTGGATTAATATCTTTCAATAATTCCAGTATTTTTTAAGGTATCGCTTAAATACCGAAGATACTGCTATTGGACACCGCTTAATTGACAATGTCTCAACAACGCAGGCTGAAGATGTGCGTGGCTCCTGCTACTGCAATGATGCTCATTTGCTTTGCTTTTCAATGATGCGCCTTAGTTGTCCCCTCTCTAACTTACCGTTCTAAATACCCCTTCTCCATCTCTCGCAAACATTCCCCCTCATACATCTCCCCCCCTTTCCTCCTGTCCCCCTGTCCATCTTTGTCCCCCTGTCCCTCACTTTGTCCCCTTGCCCACATTTTCTGTCCTCTGTCCCCGATCCCTTTCCCTTTGTCCCCTTGTCCCCCCTTTCCATCTCTCTGTCCCCCTGTCCCTCTCTATCCCATTGTCCCTCTCTCTGTCCCCCTGTCACTCTCTGTCCCCCTGTTCCTCTATGTCCCCCTGTCCATCTCTGTCCCCCTGTCCTTCTCTCTGTCCCCTGTACCTCTCTGTCCCCCTGCCCACTCTTTCTGTCCGCTGTCCTTCATCTGTCCCCCTCCCTTTCCTCCAGTCCCCCTATCCATCTCTGTCCCCTTGTCCCTGTCTCTGCCCCCTGTCCCTCTATCTGTCCCCCTGTCCGCCCTTTCTGCCCCCCTGTTCCTGTCTTTCTCTGTCTGTCCCTGTCCCTCCCTCTGTCCCCCTGCCCACTCTTTCTATCCCCTGTCTCTCCTCTGTCCCCTCTCTCTTGGTCTCCTGCCCCCCTCTCCTCCTTCTGTCCCCCGGTTCCCCTCTCTGACCCTGTCCCTCTGTCTCTGTCCCTGTCCCCTTCTCTGTCCCTGTCTCCCTCTCTGTCCCACTGCCCCCCTCTGTTCCCCCGTCCCTGGCCCTGTCCGTCTGTCCCTGTCCCTCTGTCTCTGCCTCTCCTCGTTTCTGCCATTCTCTGTGTCAGCCTATCTCTCTGTCTCTTTCCTCGCTCTATCTCTGTCATTCTCTCACTGATTTTGCATATCCTTATCTATCCGTCTCTGTGTTTAACATTCTCTCCCTGACTCTGTCTATATCTATTTCTCTGTCTCGGTCTTCATCTCTTTCTCTCCTTACATACATACATACATACATACATACATACATACATACATACATACATACATACATACATACATACATACATACATACATACATACATACATTTATTTAACACATGTGGTACACGCACAAGGGGACACAGGTGGAAGCTGAGTACCCAAATGAGCCAGGGAGATTATAGAAAGAACTTTTCAGTGTCAGAGTAGTTAATAAATGGAATGCATTAGGCAGTAATGTGGTGGAGGCTGACTCCATATACAGGTTCAAATGTAGATATGACAGAGCCCAGTAGGCTCAGGAATCTGTACATCAGTTGATTGACGGTTGAGAGGCGGGACCAAAGAGCCAAAGTTCAACCCCCGCAACCACAACTAGGTTAGTACATACATACATACATACATACATACATACATACATACATACATACATACATACATACATACATACATACATACATACATACATAAGATATAAAACAGTGGAGGATTCCCAGGTAGAACAATCAACCACAATGCCCATTACCCCTTTACCCTGTTGTCCTTAACTATACAACTATACAAGAGTCATTAACACGTATAATGGCTGATCCCCCATCACGATAGCATGAAGACCAATTGCCTGACCCGCAGTCCGTCTTGCTCCTCAAATAATTTTCGGGTTAACATGAAAACGTCTCTCGAGTTTATCTCTCTAATGTTGTTTTCCCATCTTTCATTTTATCAGCTTAGTGCCTTTATTATGCCCCAATTACTCATCCATTGAGCGGTAGTTAAACTGAACCCAAATTTAAAAAAAGTTCCTTTTGCTAAGCAAGCTACAGTCTTGATAATGTCAGATATATTGTTTTTTAACACATTTCTCAACAATGAACAGTCAGTTTTATCAAGCTAACATATCCTAACACAACGAGTGAGAGTATTAACTGGTCTAATTATTTTATTAGACCAGTATATATTATTAGATTATACTGGTATAATTATATATATATATATATATATATATATATATATATATATATATATATATATATATATATATATATATATATATAATTATACCAGTATAATTATATATATATATACCAGTATATATATATATATATATATATATATATATATATATATATATATATATATATATATATATATATATATATATACCAGTATATATATATATATATATATATATATATAATTATACCAGTATAATCTAATAATATATACTGGTCTAATAAAATAATTAGACCAGTTAATACTCTCACTCGTTGTGTTAGGATATGTTAGCTTGATAAAACTGACTGTTCATTGTTGAGAAATGTGTTAACAAACAATATATCTGACTTATCAAGACTGGGGGATGGGATGGGGAGGAATGGTGCCAAACCACTTGGACGGCGGTCGGGGATTGAACGCCTAGGACTGCTACTGTGCATTTAAATTACTAACTTACCTGAGGGTCTATATCCCTACATGTCAATGTTTGTGTATACTGGTAATGTGAGGAACATACAGAAGATAAGGGTAGCTGAACACCACAAAATGCTGATGGACAACTTTATTAAAGTTGCATAATGAAATGTGTAAGTACTTCATTCATAATGATGTGCTGCCCGAAATCTTAGCGAAGTATCAAAAATTTGCTTACTGTAGGTAATGCATGCACATGACTGTAAAACTGCCGCCCAGTTGGGTGGGTGTGGAGCACATGACTGTAAAGCTGCCGCCCAGTTGGGTGGGTTTGCAGCAAGACTAGTAACTGTGTGACTCACTATAGATGTAAAGTGCCTTTTATAGTGACTGTTGTGAGCCTCTTGTTGATCACCTGTGACACAAAGATTATTGATGTGTGTATTTGTGTAGGTGATTAAATATGTATGTGTATGTATATATGTATACGTATATATATATATATATATATATATATATATATATATATATATATATATATATATATATATATATATATATATATATATATATATATATATATATATATATATATATATATAATTTTGTAACTAGCGTCAAACATTGTTATTTGCTTAGCTAAACGAACTAGAGGGTTCAGTTCCTGAACCGATTATGTGCCTCTGTAATCCTTTACACCACCGCCCACGGGATGGGTATGGGGTGCATAATAAAGAAAGAAATAGAAGAAATTGAAATTGCATAATACGGTTATTGACATTCAATAATAGTAAGATAAAGCAATGAGGACCAAATGGGAGACCAGTGATCAGATGAATATTACAGACTCAAGGGTAGCCTTCTCTTCTTGTATATAAATGAAAAAATAAATTCGTTTGTTTAATTCTAATGCTTGTAGGCGAGAACAGTTGTGAACGCCAGCTAGCGCACAAGTACATGAGCGCCCAAAATACTTTTACACAAAAGACATGTACAGACAGGCGTGTGGCTTCTGACTTCTTTTTTATTGATTAATATTAAATATTAGGCGCTTACCTATAATAGTTATCATTTTATACATGTATAACTCTCACATAATAAATATAAAAGGAGTTTATCCAAAAACTGACAGAAGTGTTGTGTTTTGTGCGTTGTATCGTGTTTGTAGGCATTCGGGTGTGTTGTGTTTACGCTGGCGGGCGGCGTCCTTACCAACTCCGGATTATGTCTATTACATCACTAAACTTCATTTAATAACTATATGCCTGTTAAATAGAAGATTTTAATTGTTAATAGCATTATATTGTCGTTTTAATATGGAACACGTACACATATGCGAAACGTCGAAAGCTGGTGTCCGAAGTGGTAAAAATATTAGTGTGCGATGGTGTCAATGTACGGAGTGTCTTGTATCCGAGCGGGGTACATGCGGCCCTGTGCTGTAGCTGCCCCTAACCCAACAACAATAACACTAGGCAACCTGTGTGTGTGTGTTTATTGATGCTTTAGGTGGTTTCCCACACTCGCCCCCACCACAATGACAGCAGCTGCAGGTATGTTTATCCTACAACATATAGAGAAATCGGGGAGTGTATCTTAAGATAAAGCTAGAGGTTGTCGCACAAAACCACACCATTATATCATCGGTGTGACCTCACTCTTACCAATGACAGTGACTTTTAATTAAAAAGAGTTATTTGTTGCATCTGTCCTTGAAGTTGTGGTTAGAGATAGCTTCATCTACTTCATATTTGAGTGCAATCCTCATGTTGACCACTCGTTTGTACAGGGTATGCTTATAAGAGGATCCGGATGGTAAGCAGATATTCAAGGAAAACACTGGTAATGTAGGCAGGGTTGAGAGAACTGGTTCAGAGGCTCTGGAGAGAGATTCAAAAGGATTGGAGAGAGAAACTCTGAAAAACAATCTCATTATAAGAAACCTTGCAAAATTAGAGGGTAAGACTGATTAGCAAAACACTGAGGAAATGGAAAATTTGATAGGCAAAGTGGAGGATATTCCAAGATAGGGAGGGTAGGTAAGCCTGAGGCAATTCCAGTAGGCATAGCTATTACAAATCTTTAACACAAGGAAGATACTCAGAAATGCACAAAAATTAAATGATCTAGAAGGGTATAACAATCCGATCACATCAAAGACTGCCTTTCTCAACCAGTTTAAGAAAAAACTAAGTACCACCTTATCAACTCTATGTATCCTACCTTACCTCCTAATTGTCAACCTATGTCTTGCTATTCTCAAACTTTAAGGATTAATGACTAACTTGTAAAACTGATGATATCTGCCATGTATGAACTTAAAGAAAATTGTAGTCCATCAGTTTATTTAGCTAAAATTACTGGTGCTGTTCTGTTGCAATTTCTGCTGTTCCATTCAACTTGTAATTATTGTTGTTATTTTTTTCCTATCTTAGGTCAATTCATGCTTTTGATAATTATTTTTAAGTCTTAGTTTTTAAGTTTTTCCACTTCTTACCTGAAATGCTGTACATATTAGTGACTTTAAGCATTGCATATACTAGTTCTATCAAGAAATCCAACATTCTGTTTGTAACTCATTTTGTATGTACTTTTACCTGAATAAATTTTATTATTATTATTATTATTATTATTATTATTAACAACCTGAATTTACCTGATGGCCATTATCTATCTAATGGCCACAATGCAGACAAGAAGCCAGTGGTTTGTCAAAGATACCCCCAATTTTCCTGAAAAAGTTTTCCAACTGGATTTTGAACTACAGTATTGTTTTGGCATTTATGGCATAAATGGGTGGGCAGTTTCAAGGGTTTATAACCCTATGGGTAAAAAAAAAATCTAATTTTGTGTCCTACATTGTGGCTTGTTGAGCTTGAAGCTGTTGTTCTAGATTAATATCCTCAAATTTTTTCATTATTTTAAAAGTTTCTATGAGATCTGTCATGTCTGGTTTGCAGTGTTGCGAGTCCGGTGGCCTTCAACCGTTCTTGGTATGATAGTAGATTTAGTTTTGGGATTAATTTTGACACTCTGCATTGTACCTTTTCCAAGGCAGGTATATCCTTCTGAAGATGATGTATTCATACTTGGATACAGTAGTCCATATTGGGGTGCAACAGAGATTTGTACAGTTGAATAACTACTTTCTTTTCCTTGAAGTCAAAGGTTCATTTGACTATTCTTAAGGTTTGGTTGGCTTTTTGTACTACAACTCCCACTTGTTGCACAACTTTCAATAACTAGTGGATTCTGAGTCTAGGTCCTTTTCTTCTTCAGTCAGCTATATAGTAGTGTTGTTGGTTTGATAGTTTTGAAATGTATTTTTATGCCCTATATGCAGGTTCTTGCAAAATGAGCCAGACAGCCTCCCAGTCCTCCCCTCAACACCAACAAACCGCAAAAGGACTGGCATAAACCATACCAGCACCATTCTTTTGCAACACAGCATACAAGCAGAAATTGCTACAGAAGGAAACACAAGGACATGGAATTTGGCTCCAAGGAAGACCTACCCAACTCACAGCAGGCAAGGTCCCAACCCTACCAGACTGCCTCTGAAAAGAGGTGGCACAACCCAGATGAAAAAGAAGCTGATTGGATGACAGGATGCAGCAGCAGAAAGAACATGGGAAACAGCCTCCTCAGGAAATAGGAGAGACAAAAAAGAGGAGGCTGACAGAAGGGTTAAAGACCAGGCTGAATCTAAAGACCAGGTCAGCACAGCCTACCATCGTGTGATGTGAGCCAAGTAAAATGCTGCCACTACCTTTAACCACTGAACTGTGCCAACCAAGTATTCTTGATTGGTAGAAATCTGCGCCAACCGAGAAAACTTTTTTATTTTTTGATACCCATTCGACACGCATTAAGAATCATTAGGACAATAATATGTTGATCATCAAATAAAGATATTTATAATTAAGAATTTTAGTTTCTGATGACCAGGACCCAAATCTGGCCTCAATAAAGGCATAGATCAACCAAGGCCAGAAAGAACTCTTCCCCATCCCCCTTCTACCTACTCAGAAAGGTAGAGTGCCCCAAAGGAAGCAACTGCTTGGAAACATTGGCAACTCTGACACAAACTATGTAAACATTCATTATCATGACTCAACTGGAAATTAGATACACTTGCCTACTATTAGATGGCATCCCTGGCACTCGCCACCACGGGCTGCCCACCTCAGATATGCACCTCAGACAAACACACCTCTAAATGCCTGGAAAGGAGGGAAGGGACCCACCAGCAAGAGGCAGTTCATTACATTTAATGTTGGATTTTGTTGTATTTGTGCAAAGGAAGAGTGGCACCTTTGATGATAGCCACACTTTAAAAGGTTAATGGCGAGTAGTTTCCAAATGAATCACTGATAATGGGGTGTTCAAAGCCAGTATTCAGATGTAGGGTTAGGAGTGTAAAAACTACAATTTTCATCAAAGAATATGGAAAACCACTAAAGATTACTGACACTGATTCTATGTCTAATAATATCTGATCTTAACATTATGTGGTTCCAAGGAAGTGAGTAACTGAGCATTTAGGTACATAATACTGTACCATTGTCTGTACCCCTAGGGGGCCCGAACATCTGGGAGTGAGGGATATTGTTATAGGAGTGTTGTCTAGTAAACTAGTATTAAAATGATAGTGAGTACAATATAGACCAACATATATTATACTGTAGAGATATCCTTACAAATGAGTAATACAGTACCTGTATATCTTGCTGCTTGAGTACCAGCACCATGGTGTCCAGTCACTGGGAGCAGTCCCTTAAAATCTGGACACCTACATATTTTGGTTTCATGAAATTAATATTTTTGTGAAAGTAATATTACAATTTTTAAAATCTGACTTGAATAACAGTAACTTACATCTAATGTCCATAAATCAACAACTTTTTTTGTCTATCTCCCTAGATATATTTGATTTCCAGTCATTTAAGAATTTTTTTTGTAGAGCTCAATTTATAATATATTTTTTTTTCTCCAAGATTGAGTAGGCAAATTTGTCTTTGCAGTAACATATAAATAAAATATAATTTTCAATACAAATATGTAGATTCATGTGGTCAAATAAATTGGAAAAACCTACATTGCTATAGCATAAAATGAGACAGAAAAAGATAACATTATCCATGTAGGGTACAATAATTAGCCTAACATGATTTTGGAACATTGTCTTTTTCAGCAGAACCTATTCTGGCAGGAGTGGGTCACACCATGCTAGTGTTGTCTGGAAAAGGTGGTGTAGGCAAAAGCACTGCAACTGTACAGCTTGCACTTAGTCTCCGAGCAGCTGGTCACCGTGTTGGTGTGTTAGACATTGACCTTTGTGGTCCTTCAATTCCACGCATGATGGGAATTGAGGGTATGGATGTTCTCACTACCCCTGAAGGGTAAGTAGTATGGCTACAGAACTATGCTGTACTGTTATTTTATGTTGTATTCTTAGTCAAGTACTAGAAGTGGTTAGTCTGCTCAGCTATTTAAAAGTACTATTTGAATTTACCTGAATTTATCTGAGGGCTACCACCACTCTACATACCACTCCACCACTCTAGTGGCCTCGACGAGAACAGGAAGCCTGTCAAAAGTCCCCTCGTTTGTCCTGATAATTTTTACAAGCTGGATTTTAAAATTCAACAGTTTTGCCATTTACGGCTTCGGTGGATATGCAGTACCATGGGTTTATAATCCTGTGGGTGAAAAAGCATCTCCTGTTTTCAGTCCTACATTGTGGCTTGTTGAGCTTGAAACCATTGCTCCTTGTTTGTGTTGTGCATGACAAAATATAGTTAACAAATCACCTCCCAGAAATCAAGTGTTGAATATGTACTGTACTGTACTCTTATCCCACATATTCAAAACATAACAGGCTGACCTCTCGCAGTATTTAAAAGTGAACTCTACAAGCACCTTCAAAGGATACCTGATCAACCAGGCTGTAACTCATACGTCAAGCTGCAAGCAGACCAGCAACCAGGACGCCTAGTTAGAGACCGTGCTGCAGGGACATTAACCCCTGGAATCTTCAACAGGTAGTCAACAGGTAGATTATCTGACAACATAATGAAGTTGTCTAAAGTCTTTTAGGTACCCTGAGAGAAGGAACAGTAAACACAATATGGTAAATAGATATATGTACTGTATATTATAATGGTTACAGTAGTGGTGGTTGTGGTACAACAGAATTGTGACAGGGTGAGCCATATGGTGAGACTATAGAGTGCAGATCATGGCAGAGTCTGGTCACGGTTGGTGGCTGTATGATGAGACAGCGGGAACCAAGGCTAGTCATGGCTGGTGGTGTACTCACCTAGTTGTGTTTGCGGGGGTTGAGCGCTGGCTCTTTGGTCCCGCCTCTCAACTGTCAATCAACTGGTGTACAGATTCCTGAGCCTATTGGGCTCTATCATAACTACATTTGAAACTGTGTATGTTGTCTGCCTCCACCACAACACTACTTAATGCATTCCATTTGTTAACTACCCTGACACTGAAAAAATTCTTTCTAACGTCTCTGTGGCTCATCTGGGTACTAAGTTTCCATCTGTGTCCCCTTGTTTGTGTTCCGGTGAAGACATGTGGTGGGGCAGTGGGAACCAAGACTGGTCATGGATGATGTGTAGCCAAGTTCATTTGGGGAGACGGCTAGGTTGAGGCAGATCGTGGCGAGTCTGTCTGGTGATGTGGCAGGAACCGAGGCTGATAAGAGGTGATGTTGCTACTGGCTGCTCCAGCGTGAGAATGATTTTGATGCTCTGGTCAGGTGGTCTTATATCCCCTGTCCTGGGTTTGGATAAATGCTGCTCATTGGTTGATGGGAAACTGCTTGATCCTGGGAAATGTGTGGAGGTCACTTATAGTTCCTGTTATTGCTGTGGATGTGGAAGTACTGTAGCTGCTACAGCATTCTTATGCAGTTGCTACAAATATAATGAAATTTCCATTATTTCTGGTGGGCTGCTAAGTAGCTTCCTATGTCTATCTTATTCCATTTCCATGAGGAGGGTTTCTGTTCATTCCACTTGCGAATGGATGGTCAGTGGGTGATGACCCTAGGTGACCTGGTGAGCAATATAGTGGTGGTTGCACATGTAATTACCATGCATGCATGTATGCAGACCGGGATCAAATAACGCCTAATACAAAACAAACTGCAGGAGCTAGCAGCTTCTAGAGTGACGATGATAGTAGAGGAAGCTAGAGTGTTGAGGTAAATAATAACATTAATGTTGAGAAGCTATATTACAATATTAATAATGAGAGCTACAATGGGAGCAGGGAAAGCACAAATGGCACCAAAGATCAGGTTGCAAATACCAGCACTGAAGTTGGAGAAATGCCCGACAGACCACTGGAACATTATCTGACACAGTGCACAGTTACAAACCCATTAAGATTTCAACTTAGATTCAACAGAGCAGAAGAAGTTGTTAAACACATATGGTAAAATCTTACTGAAGCGACCATACGAGTCATAAATGCTCATACTCCGCCCAAGTAAAACAGAAACAAGCAACACTTAGTGGGCCAGCCAGAGGCTTAGGGCCCGTGCAGATATATCCCTGGGAAAAAAAAAAGCACTGCAGTAGACATCATCAAAAATGCCACAAATTAAAAAAGTCAAATATAAGTAAGAGAATATGCAGATATGAAACCATAGGTACAACATGCAGCTTCACATCCCCAAATCCTGGAATATACTAAAGAAGGCAGTATGTAATTTTGGATCAAATTGCAGATTTCTCCACCTTGAACTATGTAAGCTTTCAATTGACAATAGGAAATACTATGATCTTAAATTCCTTGATTTTCACATGAGAGAAATGGTATGTTATAGAAAAGAAGGCCACTCTGAAATTTAAAAAAGTAGAAGTGGCAGATCAGTTTAGTTGCACTAATGTTTGCCTGTGGACTTGTCCTAGATGCAGCCTTTCAGAATACATTATTACAAAGCAAGCCTTCAAGCAGTTGTTTCTTTTGATGTGCTTTTTCTTTCTGCATTTTTCTCGGTTTTGGGTCGATCTCTCAAGTTCCTCCCTCACCTCATAGAGATAGTCAGATTCTGGTCATGGCTCCCTTGTAGGCCCAATGGGTCTCAGAGGCCTGGAACGATTCCCTAAGGTTTTGGCAGCTCCAGTACTTATAGCTAAGGGGAGCTACTAAGATACTAAGAGGGCCATTTGAAAATGGCATTTCATTAGATTTAATGTTTGATTTTTGCACCTGATACTGTTGTCATGTGGCATCATGAATTTAGCTTCAGTAAAACTGATGACATAAACTAAAAGATTAGTGTTGGAGTTTAGAAGTCACTTTATTATGCATACTATGTGGTTGATATGCATGTTTTGTAAAACACTGTTTACAGTACAATAATAGTAATTTTGTTTCTCTGTATTGCAGGAAATGGGTTCCAGTTTTTGTTGATGAAGAAAAGAGATTAAGTGTTATATCTATTGCATTCTTTCTGGAATCCAAGAATGATGCTGTCATCTGGAGGGGTCCAAAGAAGAATGGTAAAAATAAGAATGTTTTCTTTATTACCTAGTGCTTTTTTATGAACTTTGCAACCATGTTTGGCAGCTTCAACTTAATATCACATTAGACATTTCAAGCTCAAGAATTCCATATACTGTTTTGGCCGTCAAATGGGGCATGTAAAAGATGAGTAAATGGTTGAGGAGAATGAGTGAGTCATCATATCTACCCTGAGGTATGTTTAGCAATGGATGTCTTTTAAATATTCTCATCTAAAGTTTTTGCTTCTTCAGATTTGCCAGACATGATTAATAGTGCAGTAGTTAAATACTAATTACAGTACATTCTCTGACATGTTTGTTTTTTCTGTTTTGTTTATTGAACATAAGGTTGTTTCTAAACCAAAGGTTGTACTGTATACGATGTTTTGGAGCTCACCCCTCAGTACATTGCCGGTGCACTGGCTCTGGTATCACAGAGACATCCAGAATGATACCAGTCCTACAGAACACAAGGACCAGAATCTGGTATGCTCAAAGAGGTGATGGAAGCATAGGGACTGGGCAGCGGATCAGGTAACCCGAGGTGATGGAAGCATAGGGACTAGGTAGGAGATCAGGTAACCCAAGGTTTCAGCCTGCCTGCCTCACTTACATGCCTGGTACCACCTACAATGCAGTTACACCTATAAGGACCAGTCTCCTCTTCTATATAAATGGGGGGGTAGCTTTAAAATTATATTCACACTACCCAGCTTGCTTTTCCTTACCTGTTTACTTTGCCCAGATGTTGTTTCAGGGTTATCTTATCTGGTTTGTGTTTTCCGTTTCCTTTAGAATACCAGTCAGACTGTATGTATTCAGAGGGGTCGAGTCCAGGAGTTAATGAATACCTGACATTCTGGATATAATGCTTAAGTTCCAAAAATATAAAAATACTGTACAATTAATAAATGAATAGAGTACATTTATCTAATCATACATTTCTATTTAAGATCTGAAATATACTAATTTCATATTAGTATATTATAGTATACTGTATTATTATATTACCTCTCATTTCTTTTCAAATGAACTGAGGTACTTAATTCTGGACAAACTTTACTTCTCAAATTACTTGCAGGGTTTATCTTTAATTTCCACGATGATGTTTCATGTACAAGGTATAGGTAGGCAATTATCAGGAGAAAGTGCCAAGCAATTGTGACTATACTGTATAGCACTTGGAAAGGATCAGGATAAGGATTTTGGATGGGACAGGTGGAAGGAATGGTGTCCAACCACTTAGATTGTCGGGGATTGAACATATAAGATATAGTGAATGACTGGGTATGTTATTTTCAAAATTTAGCCTGTTCTGTGGGCTGATGCCTTTCACTAGTCTGATGCGTAGTGATGTAGAGCATCTACTTATGATTACACAGTATAGGGTAAACATTATGTGCATCAGTTGTTTTGTTTATGATGTTTGCTTTGACTTTCGTAGCCATGGTTAAGCAGTTACTAACAAGCATTTTGTGGGACGTTGACTACTTGATCATTGACACTCCTCCTGGCACTTCTGATGAGCATATTTCTGTCATGGAAAATATAAGGTAAGAACCCTGCCATAATAAATTAATAAAATAAGAGGAAAGTCTTGTACCAGTTTTCAGAATTATATTAAATCCAGTATAATTGATTGTTGTCTTACAATGTTTAACACTTTGATGTATTCTTATATAACCCACCATACACTCATCTCTTCCCCTGCCTGCTCTTTGGTTTCCCTGTACTGTACTTGTTTGTTTTTTTCAGCTCATTATCCTTGAATGCATATTTCCTTAGATACGCATTCTGAGCATAATCACCTTTCTTTTGGTGGGTGTGTTGCAGTATAGAAAAGAAATTTGATATTTCAGCAAATTATTATTTACTTGCCTAACATGCTGGTGATCATTTGCTCAAAGTGGACTAGGAAAATTGTTAGCAATGAGAAATAACATAAAGAATTGTGTCTGGTGTGCTTAATACTTAGTTATCAGTGACCTTGATACAAGCCTAATGTACATGAATACACACTGGCTGCCAGTCCTCTAACACAATGAATTATTATAATTATATTCAACACTGGAATCTTATGATGCAGAGAATATATATTTTTTGATAATTAAAAACTGAATTGTATTATTGTGCATATTCAGTATAATTATTATGGACATTTTTTAAATATATTTGCAGTTCAAGTGGTTGTTCTATTAATACGCACATTCAATATATACTGATAAATCTGTTTTATGTTGTTGCAGAAGTGCATCTGTACTTGGAGCTGTCTTAGTTACAACACCACAGATGGTAGCAGTTGATGATGTAGCAAGAGAATTGACATTCTGTAGACGAACAGGAATCAACATACTTGGCATCATTGAGAATATGTCTGGCTTTGTTTGTCCTACCTGCTCTGTAAGTATGTTATACTTTCTTGTATTATATCTGGCAGATTAGTGTATATATTATTATATGCAAATGCCTGTTTGTGAACCTGAAAGACTAGATATTTACATTTTAAAATTCAATTAACATGAGGTACAGTGGTACCTCGAGTTACGAAGTCCCTGTTTACGAACTTTTCGAGATTACGAGCCCGATTTGTTTGGAAAATTTCAATTGGGATACAAACTTTGCATCGGGATCCGAGTTTGTTGATACGCGTACGGCTGACCTAGTGCGTGGTGGGACGGCGATCGCGCGTCAGTTTACCAGTGCCTCATGCCCAGTGACTATCCCACCTGAATTCTTCACAAGAATTTACAGTTTTTTGTCGGATTTTTGGCCATTTGAGCATAAAACTTATTATATATCTCGCCATGGGTCCCAAGAAAGTCAGTGGTAAAGTTCTAGGCAAGAAATCACATGTGAGAATGACCATAGAGGAAAAATAAGAGATCATTCGCAAGCATGAAAATGGTACTCATGTTGTTGAACTAGCTATGCAGTACAACAAATCTTCAGGGGAGGAAGAGGAGGCAGTAGAGAATGTCCCTTCGTCAGTAATTAAGAAAATGTGTGCAGTATGAGAAGGACTGCAAAGTTTTGCTGAAAGAATCGCCCAGATAGAGCTGTAGTAGGCCGTTGCATTGATCTTTTTAACGACAATGTGATGCCTCACTACCAACAAGTGTTGCGAAGAAGGGGAAAAACAATCTTCAATGGAATGTTTCCTTGTGAGAAAAGTAAGAAAATCAAGCAGCGAGCCACAACCAGGACCTAGTGGTGTGCAGGCAAAACGTGCCAGAGAGTGCACTCCAGAGAAATTTTCACTACCTGATGTTATAATGGAAGGGGACTCCCCTTCCAAACAATAACACCTCTAATGAACAAATCCACAAGGGCCGTGACGAGGATTCGAACCTGCGTCCAAGAGCATCCCAGATGCTGCCTTAATTGACTGAGCTACGACATGGTCAAAAGGAGTTGAAACCGAAGTTCTACTGAACTTACTGGATCCTGCAGCCTCTCCGAGGCACAAACCAGGGTTTTACACAACTCCCCCCATGCACTCGAGCTATGTCAAAAGGCCGTTCTCCCTCACTTCATTACTCACAGAAATCACAATTGCGTGATGCATCAAATGAACAAATCCACAAGGGCCATGACGAGGATTCGAACCTGCGTCCGAGAGCATCCCAGCGAAGTGCACTAGGTGTGAGCTAATACAAACATGGTGCCTCAGCTCTAGTGGAGCTTTCCCTTTTCAACAGGGGCAGAAATTGATCCAAACATTTGGTTGTGCCAGTGCTGAGACCCCCTTCATGGCCCAGACTGGATACTCTGATCTATCCACAGGGCAACACCATCATGGGTTGCCCATGTGGATAGATCCCATGCTTCTCTCATGGAAGGAAAGCACTTACCAAAGAACAGCGAACTAGACCTCTTCTTTCCCCCCCCAACTTCCTTCCTCACCTCTATGAAAACGAGTTATTTTATTCCTTTAATGTTCATTGATAAATATATTTGCCACAAATGTTTGTTTGGCAAGCTGTCCAAATTATTCAATAAAGGTTTCTTGAAGCATAAGCTAGGATATTGCCAATGAGACCTATTTATCTAATAAGTTGTATATGCTCTTGGGAGCATCTAATTTTACCTGTAAATAGTTTCTAGGGTTTTGCTTCTTAAGCCTGGTTTGCCTGGTGGTAATTTTGCCTATTAGGCAACATACCTTTTCACTAGTATTTTGCCCTGCCATCAGGATGTATGCCTTTGCACCAGTCTTGCCTTGGTCCTGGGGTTGTAAGGACAACAAGGCAAGTGATCATTGTCAAAAGCAAAGAACCTTTAAGTTGTACCAAATACAGCACCCCAGTTGTAAACTGATGGCCACCTGGGTCACGCAGAGTCCTGGCCTGCCACCTACCAGTACTGAACCCTAAAATAACCACAATGAAGAAACATTTCCGTTATGTTCAGGCATATTCCCCATATATGTATGAAATATGATGTATAACCATATGTGAAGTTCTACAGATACAAAAGAAATACTGTATTTGTCCTTGCCTGGAATACTAGTCTCCAATCTTGGAAAGCTACCACTACTCTAATTAAAACGTTTGTAAGTCACAGGATCAGCTTGACTTGGGTCTCTGGCCAGTAACAGTAACTCTTAAGTTCTTACTCTTAAGACCTTAGATTGCACATCCCATGAAGTACATTCTTGCAATACTTGCTCTGCACCAGCTTGTGTGTTTCTCCAGTTCATTAATTTAACACTGCTAAAAATATATTCCTTAGGGTAATAGTCCATTCCGGGAAGTGACTGGTCTGTCCAACACATTTGATCCTGATTTTATAAAGCTACTTGGAAGATTTACTTACCCTTATTATTATCTTTAGTTATAATCTATCATTTTATCTTTAGTTATACTCTATCATTATTTTATTTAGTATACCAGAGCCTACATAAAAAAAAAAACTTACATTTTTGGGGTTTTAAATTTAATGAAAAGTTTTCAAGGAAATTTCACTGTACCCATACAGTATACACACATTTGCATATTTACATTAATATGGAATTTTGAATTTCAGGAGTGCAGCAACATCCTAGCTACAGGTGGTGGTGAACAGTTGGCTGTCAGGGCCAAAGTTCCCTTTCTGGGTCGAGTGCCCATTGACCCAAATCTTGCCCACTGTACTGAGGAAGGATTGAGCTACCTTGATAAATTTGCCAGCTCTCCAGTCAGTCAGGTCTATCACAAAATTATTCATACACTCATTGGTAAAGAACTGGAGGATATGGAGGTTGAAAATTGACTTATCATAACTTGCAGTATTAGTCAATCAAATAATTAGATTTTTAATGAACCTTATTATGAATATAAATGGTGAAAATTATATTGTTTGTAATTTAAACCAGTAAAAAAATCCACATGAACCATTGTTATCCTGTTTGTTTATTAGTTCTTTACTGTAATAGGGTTTTGCCAAGGCTGCAAGTTGAAGTTCATCATACAGAACCTGCTTGATGGGGTTCTGGGAGTTGTTTGACTTGTGAGAGTTTGGTCCACTAGGCTGTTGCTTGGAGCGGCCCGCAGGCCCACATACCCACCACATCCCGGTTGGTCCGGCACTCCTTGGAGAGAAGTCCAAGTGTAATGCCTTTTTACAACACTTAACATATTCGTTACTATATTTCTCACTTTTATGGAGTGGCAAGATATCAGCCCAGATGAGAAAAAGATTACTATACTAATAGTGAAAGTAACGTTGACAAATCTGCGGTTCCAATGAAACTTGTGGAAATTTAATCACATCTTTTAAGTGTGTCTCAAGGTCAAATACAGCATAAAGTATTGGACAGCCTTAAACCGAGTGGTCTGGATACAGCTTGTGTTTATATACATGTACCATTATTAGCCAAGTTATTTATCCTGTTAAAAAATGTGCAAAGTTTGGAAAAAATCAATGTCAGTAAGACACTAATGTTTATATTAATGAACACAAAAAGCAACTAGTTATCAAAAGAAGGCACCAAGCTGGGAAGGCTGTAGCATTGACTGTAATAAGTCACTGTATATTCAAAAGATGCTAAATATTAATCAAGATGCCAACACAAAAGGTAAATTGATTGTGATCTACCTGCTATATATTATAATTTTGATCAAGTGCATTTTTATACTTAATTATTTTTATGATTAACAGCTATTAATAGTAAATACTGGCACTAGGCTAGATTCATTATCTTCAGTTTAATCACAAACAATATTTTAATCTTGAATTATTAAAAAGTACAATGTTGAGTACTGTCATATATACAATTTAAAACTGATATACCCCATACTACTTTAATACATCATGGCAAACGCCTACATCGCACAACTTGTCGGTAACCAACACCATAATTCATGGTAGAGAAACTAGCAAACATTATCAATAAGCTATCATTTAATGAGGGTATTTGCCTGTATAATTTATCTATAAAAAGTAATTATAGCATGTAACAACAAACAACTAACAAAGTATTCACAGCACATTCATTTACACTTATTTTTATAAAAATATACAACTTATCACAGCTTCAATTACAAATACAATAAATCTAAACTGTACAGGTCTTCCTTTCTATAACAGGTGAAACTGCTTGTACTTAAAAAATACTAAATATGATAAAATATATCTGTAAGAGTTACATTGTTAATCACTATTACAAAATACATCTATAAAAAACACACATCTTTGAACCCACAAATTACTTGATCAATTTGGTACCAGAGTGGCCCATCAGTAGTACACACAGCAGCATCCATGCACCTGTCTGCAAGTGTACATTTTCCCAACTGGGTTGTCAAAGTTTTACTGGGAGTTGGATGGCCTTCCAAATTTAAAGAAGGGATTGTTGGAGTTTCTATAATAGATTCTATCCTCGAAAGTTTGTTTATAGGAGTGTCTAAGACAGGTTTCATAGGCGTTTCTAAAACAAGTTTCAAACAAGCAGTTCTTTGATTACCAAGGTTTTTATCAATAAGGTCATTTGCTTTCATACGGTTTAATGTTCTCAAATTTGCTATTTCTTTATGACGAGTTATCTTTAGTATATTTGCTTCACAGAGTACAGACGATTCATCCTCCATAGATGATCTATTATAGCTGCTGATATCATTAGCAGAATAACGTTTAGACACACCAGGTATACCGAAGGCTAAAGCTCTTTTAGTTCCATTTTTTTTTAAAGAAGTACTAGTATGCTCTGTAATCCCTGTTCCCACACATGGGGTGAGGTCCATTGGTATTACTGCAGGTGGATGACATACTTTAATCTGTACAACCTTGGCTCGCAAGTTTGGAGAGTACCCAAGATGAAGCACAAGATCACAGGAGCTCGAGTCTAGTGGTGACAATGTGGTTTGATTAGGCGAGTGACTCTTCTGAACCATCACCCATACTTTCTGGACACTAAGAGGACGATTTACAAGCTTCACAAGATCTTCATTTCCTACTAGAGCTCTGAAAAATATTTACTGACATTATAAAAAATAAAATTGTATTATTAACAATTGAAATGAATTAAAGTTAAGTCTTCTTTACAATATTAAATAATTATGCAATCTCATCTGGCCCTCACATTCCTTAATTAAAATACTGTACTTGACAATCAAACCCACAACCTAATCAGATTAAAACTATTTGTTGTACTGTACATTCATTTTTCTCAACTAATAGTGACAATAACTCGTTCCCCTCTCTTCAATTTTGTTAAATTTTAACCGTAATATATGTAGATCATTCCTTACAATACAAGCCTCTACATCACAAATAGAAATATTTCCAAAGTTCCCTCCCATTCTATAACTTTCGCTGCAATTGTGGGCCCTACTCATCTTCTTAATTTATTATATTTACCAACTGAACTGTATTTTAATGCACTTGTCATATTCAGAATAATACAACAAAGATGTTCTTTGCAATCCAACAGTATCTCAACACTTGTTATATGGTATTCCATATTATGGTATACCATTGTTGGGGGACAAAATCTGTGCAGCCACCCAACAGTTCTTGTCCAGATCCAATGAAGGTTAACCGAGTGATGTGCACATCATTCACCGTGCCACCCTATTGCTATATACAATGACCGACTCCACTAAGATCAGGATAAATGTGCAATTACCGGATACAAAAAAAAAAAAAAAATAGTAGTTATAGTTGCTTGTTTATACAGATGCCTAATTCTTTTGAGAAGAAAAGCTACAATAATCTGGGTTTGAGCTTGAAATACAAGAGGCAACAAAAATTAAATATATTAGGATTGCAATTGTCCATTTTATTTTTACATAATTTTTTTATCATTTAGCACAAATGAAAGAACATAGGTTTGTCAAAAAAATTAATAATAAAAAAAAAAACTTTAGAAAACCAGCTATAGCTGACTTCTGGTCCTAATTAATCCCAATGTTAAATGACCCCAGGATCAAATGCAGTACCTGTATTGTACTTCATACATCATCAATACCAACATCAATCATGCTCTCATTTTCCTTCACTATTTTTCCACTACAGATTAAATGCATTGGTGCTTTTTACCATCCCTCAAGTGAGCACACGAGTATTTTGTTCCATATTTGTTTCCTAAATACCCTTGTCTGTGGCATCTTTTAGCATAACTAACGTAACAGTTATAAATATACTTCTTAATCAATTATTCATCAATATAGTTACATTAAAAGAAAAAAAGTGGCCAATACCATACTTTCTCATACTTAGTTGAAGAAAGCACAATGTTGAAAATGATGTACACAAAGAGCAGAATTTATTTGTAGATAATGTTTTACATTACCTTTACCGAGTCTGGTCTGACAGACTAGATACAGATTTGATATACAGCACTTAAAGGCATAATGCCATCTACATACAAGATTAGTTAACAGTAAAAGCAAATTATGCTGGCACATTCTTACCTGAGCATCTCTACAATTGTATGTCTTCCATTTGAAATCTTAATTTCTTCAGCCGAGGCATAGTCAGGAGGAAAAACAATAGAGAATACCTCTCGGCTGGACATCACTGAACTGCCCAATATTAAATTGACTGCCAGCACATCACCGCCTTCAAACTCTGTGCGTAATACCTGCAAGAAAACTTAGAGTAAACATGTTTTTTTACATAACCTTTGCAAAAAAGTAAGATTATAGTACAAAGTTAGGATGATATAAGAAGACACAGGAATGAGACAATAAGATGGAGATTAGGAAAATAAAAGTGGGGTAAAATATATAGTGTAGGTTTCCAAGAATAAAATAATGGAATATTTTGAGGGAAGTAATTACAGCAGACACTAGAAATTGAAGAGATGACAACGTTTCAGTCCGTTTTGGACCATTATCAATCGACTTGATAATGGTCCAGGACAGACCAAAACATCGTTTCTTCAATTTCTAAGAGTGTGGTTTGATGAACATTTTTCAGCCACATTATTGTGACTCATCATCTGCATACAGTAGACACACAATGGTTTCAATATAAATATAAATGCAACAGTATGTTGAAGCACTAGCCAGCACAGCTAGATGGATGCTGCAAATATGAACTGCTTAATGAAGAATGCAATAATAGGCCAGCTAAAGAGAAATTTTCTGGATATAGACAAAACATATTGCACACTATATGACCAAGAAAAAAACAGCTTGCAATGTGAAAAAATATTTACAGTAGTTTAATACATAGTGACTGTATGGATCAGGTTAGAAGATGCACTTATTAGTCATCAATCTCAAACATATTTATTGGCTCCCTGAACACAAAGTTATATTGTCAATGTTTATCATCGGTATAACTTGATAAAATAAAACAGTGAAGGAAAATTTGTATACACAAGATAAGTAACAGTTACGTTTGAGTGAGATAAAAGTGCTCTTATCCAAGTTAATGTCAGGTGTTTGGAAGAGTATAAAATTTAAAAAATTACAGTACTGTGTAGAAATTATACAGTACAGTGTGAGAAAATGGATTTCCAGCTAGCTTACAGAAGTTTGATAGAAGAGTGCACGCCAACATTTTACTTGACACTAGGAGTGCACAAGAGTGCGCCGAGCTGAGTGCACTCACTCTAAGCTTTCTTAATATGGGAGCGGACTTGTTTTGTTGGGTGTCTATGAGGAGCAGGCACCCTTGGTTGTTCAGTTAGACTACGGAGGCTGCCGTAGCCTTTCTTTGAAAGGAATTACAGCCATTAGTATAGTTTTAACCTTAAGTTACTTGGAAACAGAGCCAGGAGCGAGGGGGGGGGGGGACTTTGGGCCAGGAAAGCCTAATGGTTCCTCCGTTTGTGTAAACATAGTTGGTAGGCTGTGACGTCACTGGAGTCACATGACTAAGGAACAAGAGCTATTGGGGGAGGCACCAGTGGGCCTCCAAGATGCTGTCGTGCGATTGACTAATTTTGAAGAACAAGGGAAAAAGTGTGTCGAGGGAAGCCGCCAGCCAGCTTCCAGCCCTTGTACCGGCATTCTGAGGGCAGCTTTTGATCTGTTAAGATGCGAGAACCGTAACTCCGGCCAAGTTACAAAAACCCCTATCTGAACACGATTTCATTACCCCTTAAACCGAGCAAAATATACACATGCGATTTGACATAACTAAAGTTTTTTAAACTTGCACAAACACTTTCCAATTTTTTGTGCATAATCAACTAGGCAAATGCTCCAACTTTGTCTAAATGATCATAACGTAACTTGAAAAACAAGAAAATAAAAAAATAATTTTAAAATTGAATATTGAACACTTCAGATTTTCAAATTCGATTAAAAAATATAAACTATCACCAATTGTTCATGTTGGTTGTTATGCTCTCAGAACAACATATGATTTTCATTTTCATCCACTTAGAATATAGGTTTTCAGCATAGTTTACTGTAAAAAAATTGTTAATATGGCATTTGAAATATACAGCAAATTTAGACAAAAATAAATTATAACTCCAAACATATAGGGTTTATGAAAATTCCTTTCTGAAGGGATTGTAGAATAGATAGCAGAGCACACAATGTCAAAATGGTGAGAATCGGTCAGAAACTGGAATTTTAGAAGCCACTCAAAGTTGAAACTCTAGTTTCAGAGATAATTGAAGTCGAGGTTCTCGACAATGAATAGAGGTAGTTCTAATTCGTTAAGTTAATTGTATGTTTTAATAAATATTGTTTGGAATTCGTACTCGAATATGTCAAAGTTGTAGGTCAATATGTGTTGAAATGAAGTCAAGAAAAAATATCCCCCGCCCCCCAAAATATAAAACAAAATACTGTATAAAAAAATATATATACACAGTATACAGTGTATATATATATATATATTTATATAAATATAAATAAACTATAAATATATTTTTATATGTGAAAAGAACATTAAACAGGAGTATGTAAAATTGTCTTTGAAAATTTAAGTGTCTTGCAAAATGCTTCTAGGCATCAGATTTTGTCAACCCTTCCATAATTACTGTACCGTTATTGTATTTCTTCATTACTACCAAAATAACTGGGCAAAGGATCCAGGTATCCATGACCCATAGTCTTTAGCAATGAATATTAATTCAGTGAAAGACCCCAAATATCTTTAGCTCTAGAATACATCCACACATTGGAGCAAAGCTATGACCCAGTGATGGGAGGCACCTGTATGATCGTTAGGAGATTGTGTCATGCGATACTCAATATACAGTATAGTGACCACCATTTAAAGCGGTGCTGTTGCATGCAGCTGCAGTCACTGCAGCAATTAATAGTACCCTGACAATCTGCTTGCAAGTATTGATCACTATGCTTTGCAAATGGAACCTGCTAGAAAAGTATGAACGTTATGCTTGTTTTCCATCTTACAGTGGTGTAGACCGAACATGTACAGTACACACATTTCCATTTTTTTTTATTTATGATGGAAAATAAAATGGCATACTGAAAAATGTATGAGGAATGTTGAAATATTCATAAACATTCACATATTCAACAGTGTCCTGCATATTCTATTAATAAAATGCATTTTGTACTGCAATGCTACATATAATATACAGTACCATATTATAACCTCCAACAATGTTAAAACCCAACAAATAATGAGAGAGAAAGAAAAAAAACCATTTTAGGTGTCGCTGAGTGGGACCTGTATGCCAGAAACGTTTATGGTTGGGAAAGCGTTTTGACACCGGAACATTAAAGTGTTAAAAGGACTTCATCTCCTCCTCCACTGTTTGTGTGACTTTCTATGCTTCTTTTCTGTAGTTGAAAACATTATACATAAGGTTAAAAGATATGAATTCCTAATATTGACAAATTAATTTAGCTGATCACTTAAAGTTTTATTAAACAATTATAAATGTAAGAGACTGACATACTGTACCTGCATTACTCTCTTGAAATTTGCAACGAAGTTATTGACCTTTACTAACCACCGCTCTCTCTTCCTTTCAAGTGTTTGTCTTGCAACTTCCTTTTTCCTACTGTAAACCTGAAAGATTAAAAAATTATAATAAACAAAAAAATTTAAGCAATACAAATTTTTTGTGGAAGATAATGACAAGAACTTTAGCCATTATGCATTTCTACATACAATATACAGTACCGTATTATACCCCTCCTCCAATGTTATAAATTACCAATATTATTATTATACAGGAAAAAAATAAATAAACCAAAAGCAAACCGTAGCGGTTCCACCAGCGCCGCACGAGACACGGTGACAGAATGCGTCAAGTTGACAGTCCCAAACCAACCAACCCCCCCTTCCTGAGAGAAGGACAAGACCATGTCAACAAAAACCACAGAATACCTAAAAGAAAAAGACAAAAAGAAAAGGAAGACCGCCAGCAAAACTATACGGGCACCGAGACGAAGCAGGTAGGACACCATCAACGAAGCCACCTGATCACCAAAGATGGTGAGAGAGACTAGTCAAAATTACCAGACTGGAAGACTCGAGGAGAAGACTGAACCAGCCTCGATTTGGACTGGACCGATCATTAGAAGAGGTGGAGCTGAGGGAAAACCCCTGGGTTCGGAAACCGAGCAAGCAGTGACCGAAACCAAGGATGGCAAGGAACCAGAAGGAATGTCCGCCAGGGAACCAGGAACCCGGCGAGCAGGAAAGAACCAACCCGGGCGAGCAGATGCGCCCCATCCAGAGGAACACCCCCCCTCCCCCTAGGACCCCGAAAGGACCAACAAGGCTAATAACGAATGACAACAAGAAGCCGCCGCTTGCCGAAAGAGCGGAACTGTAGACTTTGCAAACAGCAAAGACGAAATGGTGACAAAAACCAAAGAGCCAGGGGCCCAGGAAGAGGCCAACGAGGAAGCGAGCACCACGCGCCAACATGCGAGACGCGAAGCGAAAAACAGCGACACCGCAACCCGAAGGAGCAGTGCAACCAGCTCCAGTTCTACAACGGAACAGTCCAATCGCATGGAACTGACCATGTACACAGTCCAACCTAGCACCAACACTAGTATAGTCAATAAGCACATACTAAGACACAACAATGCGTAGTATAGAGGTAGGAAATGCAACGAAAACGGAATGTACATGATCAAGTAAATATGCAGACACACCCCAATGTATATATTAGAGTACAGCCAGGCACTGATGACGGGCAAGGAAGGAGTGACCAGAAGCAACGACCGAGTCAAGGAATGAGTGTCCATCTGATGTTCCATGGAACCCTTCCCCACAATCAGGCCTTAGCCTTGGGCTGAGGGGCATTGATATAAGCACATAGGAAGGCCACGTACAGATGCACGCAAAGTGGCCAATCAACACGGTACAAAAAATGCCCAACACTCGTCCAAAAACCGAGAACCAGCGCCTGGCTGACAGTGTCACCAGACCATTACTCTCACCTGTAAAGCGTAGACACTATGGTGTCACAACACAGCTGAGCCATGTAACATTCCAGCAGCAACGTTAGTGGATCATGTTCAGAGATGCGTGAACCAAAGAAGATGAGCCAAAGAAGTGCAGAGTAAAGGTGGATGTGGTGCCACTCTGAGCCACCCCACACCAGTAAAAGCAGAGAAAAAACTAAGTGTTCTCCCCATATATAAAATCCAGAACTTACCCAGTATCCAGGGGGGCTATGACTAGAAAGATTTATTTATTTATTTATATATATATATACAAGAAGGTACATTGGGATTGTGAGGATACATAGCATAGTAATTACATTCTTGTAAAGCCACTAGTACGCGCAGCATTTCGGGCAGGTGAATGAGATCAACCCGTTCTCGCAAATTCGTAAAGTCAATATTGACTTATTAACTACGTGCATAGGTGATATACTAAACATAATAGATACCCTTAAAAAGATTCATAGAAAGCACCGACCTTACCTAACCTTGTTAGTATCTTAAGATAAGCATCTTATTGCTTCGTAATTACAATTATTACTTAACCTATACCTATTATAGGTTAGGTAATAATTGTAATTACGAAGCAATAAGATGCTTATCTTAAGATACTAACAAGGTTAGGTAAGGTCGGTGTTTTCTATGAATCTTTTTAAGGGTATCTATTATGTTAAGTATGTCAACTATGCACATATATAATAAGTCAATATTGACTTATTAAATTTGCGAGAACGGGTTGATGAGATGATGATGAGCAAGAGCAGCGTAGAACCCGTGAGAAAGGACGCACATAAACTCAAACACCATTGGCACATGCGCCTGAGAACCGAGCTGCAACACTCAACCCTCGGGGAGGGTGCCTACAAGGTGTATTAAATGAATGTTAGGAATGTCGAGACAGAGTACGGAGATAAGATATAATGATAAAATAATGCGATAAAACATCGAAAAACGATAAGTAGTATGGAAGAAGACCAACGAGTCCTAGAAAGGACTGGATGTAAACCTCACCGGCAGACGACAAGACGTTCCAACAATATTGGAAGAAACAAAGATCTTGCCAAACCTTCGAGACCCTTGAGAAGCAAGCACAAAAGCACGGAGGCTCACGTGGGCCTAGTGGTATCCGCGACCAATGGTCATGCAGGATCCCGAGATGATGAGAACATGATTACGACATGATGTAGAAGAATACATCTCCTAGAAATGAAAGGTGAGAAAGTGGTAAAATCACCCACAGGAAGGACGGAACCAATGGACCCAAAGGGACCCAGAACCGAACCTGGGGAGGGGCCAACACCCAAACTAACTTGTACTCAGAGGGGGAAAAGGAAAACCTCACTCCTTGTAACCAAAAGCCCCGCCCAGGTGGGATCAAACGGAGCCCAAGGACCCCAAGCCTGCCCCTCCCCAACCCTGGGAACCTCCACGTCAGGCCCCGGGGCAAGTTGTCCTCCCAAGCCCCTGCCACACAAGAAAACAAAATCCCTATAAACAAAACGGGGCAGCCTCGAGGCATCCGAGGAAGCAACCAACCTAGCGCACTGCAATCGAGCAGCACGTGAGCCGCCTACACCTGAAATGTCATCATCAGATTGGGTGAACCGAGTCACAAACAAGCAACAAAGCTTGCAGGACTCTGGGTCGAATGTGTCACCGACCCAACAGGCAGCATGACGGAGGCAAAAACAATGAGCGTTGCCCCGAGACAAATAAAATAAATAAATAAATGTTTATTTAGGTAAGGTACATACATACAAGAGATTTTACAAAGATTGATGGAGTTATAGATAGAGCTAGTACATACAATGCCTAAAGCCACTATTACGCAAGGCGTTTCGGGCAGTTTTAGAGATTTAGGTGTAGGGGACAGACAAGGGGACAGAGCAACCCTCAAATTCAAAAAAGCGAGAGGATACTTAGGGACCACATCCATTGGACCCGAGCGCCCCCGCTGGGTTTTCCAGGGCCTCCTAGACTGGGTCTGCTAAGGATTATCCCAGGCAGTGTACCGCTAACTGGTGCCCAAGCTACCAATCAACACTGCTAATGCTGAACTCCTGGGACATGTCCACTCACGAGAGCGAAGCAGGGGGGTATCACAAAAAACAACAATCCTAGTATAAAGGGGGAGGTACATTCTGTGGCGCGGGTTCGATTCCCGCACAAGGCAGAAACAAATGGGCAAAGTTTCTTTCACCCTGAATGCCCCTGTTACCTAGCAGTAAATAGGTACCTGGGAGTTAGTCAGCTGTCACGGGCTGCTTCCTGGGGGTGGAGGCCTGGTCGAGGACCGGGCCGCGGGGACACTAAAAAGCCCCGAAATCATCTCAAGATAACTCAAGATTAAGATAACACCAAGGCAGACCCCCCCCCCCCACCAGGCAAAAATAAAAAGAAAAGAAAAACCTCAGAAGAGGACATCGTACCCAAAGGGAACAGAGCCGGCCGCTGTTATAGGTGAAACCAGCTACGCAGTACCCCATGCCCCTACTAGTGCAAAAACTATCACTTACCCCAAGGAAAACTAGGGAGGAACCCCCCAAAACACTAGGGGCAGTCAATCGTCAAGCAGCAAAAGACCTAGAGGTAGACCCAAGGTGACTTGTGGAAGGGAACCCCAAGCCCCTAGGGTGGTACTTACAGGACACTCAGGGAAGGTGACCCTAAGCACACGCAGCCCGAGTACCTGTGAATATTACTCCCAACTCGCACACCACCATAAGAGCAATGCTGAAACAGAGAACAGCACAACAAGAGTCCGGAGCTGGAGCCACAACGACCAAGCTGTATCCCATCAGCCAAAGAACTAAAGGGTGGATCGCCGACACGAAGATCTGGGGCTACCTCTTCCCCCTCCTGGGAAGGGGGGGGGGGAGCTGTGCAGACATGCAGCACAGCTCGTGTGACGTCATGCTTGTTTGCTCGTGTTCCCTTGGGGAGCTCTGTCCACTTGTTTATCTATTTTTATCGCTTTTAACCAGAATTGGGGTTTGTTTTGGGGCGCTTACCTTTCTGAGTGCTTGTCCCAGTCGATGGCAGATATAGAATGCTCCAAAATCACATGTGCATTTCTATAGGCCATTGCTCCTCATGCCTCTCTAAAGGGGGGCCCAGGTTCTGGCTCGTGATCCCCGGTAGGTCTAGAACACCCACATCGACTTATGCCAAAGTTAAGGATATCCATATCAGCCTGGATAGCTCCAGGGAGCCATAGGGGCTCCCCCCAGAAAATTTAGTTTATTACAGAATAAAAACTATAGTACATGTACTGTACAGTAACAGTACATAAAACCTTCATGACAGGTTAAGAAAAAATAATCACTACTCTAAGAACCCGCAGGGAGCACCGACTAAATGACCACCTCAATATTCTCACTGAGGGGTTTACAATTACAGTACAGCAGGTCACCTGAATAAGTACTGTACAGTATTGGAACAATTAGTTGCAACATAGGAAATATTCACACAATAATATACCAATAATCTTGTTCTACTTGCACTGACCATAGACGCTATGAAAACAAATGCTATAAATTAATGAAACATACCGTGTAGAATACGGTATGAATAACATTCAATCCTTCCTCAATACAATTCAATACAACCTAACATTCAATCCAACTCACAGGACTTGTTTATTCCAGATCCCAAACTAAAATTATATACCAGGCCAAGAAATTCCAGTAAAGTATTCTGAAAAGTATTTGAGGCATATTATATCCCCAAGGGGCCTACTTGTCAATTTTTATCATGCTATTAGAGATCTGAAGGTCAAAATAAATATTTTCATGGGTGAATTTAGTCACCTTGTCAAATGTTATTTAGGTCAATGTCTAAGCTTGTACTAATGTGAACTATATGACCACAAAATGCTATGGAAAAAATATCGGCAATTAAGCTGACCTTAGTAAGCTTAATTGTGAATGGAGGAAATGTCAATGCTGTATCTTGGTAGTCCATCTTCACACTCTTTGCACTCTCCTACCTGGCCACGTCACACCTCAACTGTAATAATTGTGAGGTCACAATTGGTCCCACCTACAATTGAAATAATTAACCAACAAATGATATGATTTTGTCAGAATAGAATTACCCATCCAGCAAACTCAATCAACTTATTTTTTCCAGGCCTTCACTTATCATTGGCCACTCCAACTTTTCCAGAAATATAAAAATATGTTTATCAGCACGCTCAGTATACCAATGTATCCCGCCTAGTGATGACTGCACTTGAATTCTTTGAAGAATTTTATTGTTTTTCTATTTTTTTGGTATCTGAACATGAAAGTTTTTATTACATATCACACCATAGGTCACAAGAAAGTCAGTGGTAAAGTTCAACCTAATAAAATAGTTGTGAGTAGAGGATGTCCCTTCCTCATTAAGAAAATGTGTGCAGTATCAGAAGAACTGAAGTTTTGCTGAAAAGATTCGCCCAGATAAAGCTGTAGGAGGCCGTTGTGTTAACCTTTTTAATGACAATGTAATGTCTCACTACAGACAAGCGCTAAAACATAGGGAAAAACAAGTGTCTATAGACTGATTCTTAGTAACACAAACAAGCAGTGAGCCACAACCAGGTCCTAGTGGTATGCTTGCAAAACGTAGGAGTGTGTGTACCCGAGAAACGTCATCAGTGCCTGATGTTATAATGAAGGGGACTCCTCTTCCAAACATTAACACCTCTGCTCCACCCCCCCTTCCTCACCATCTTCCATAAGCCAACAAGAGTCCGCAATGAAGGTAAGGTACCTATGAGCAGTATCTTGTATAAAAAATATTTTTAAGTTAATATTTTTGGGTGTATAGAACATATTAATTCAATTTACATTATTGCTTATGGGAAAATTTGTTTTGGTTATCAAATTTTCGGTGTACAAAGCATCTCTTGGAACAGATTAAATTTGTAAATGGAGGGGGCTACTGTACTGGAAACAGTTTTGACGATTAGAAAATATACCTGATAAAAATACGTTTGTATTATTTAACCAGGAGGCCCAATGTGAGACTGGGTTGCGGGAGACTTTCATCCTTGGAACCAACACAAGGTAATCGTAAGGTAAGGTACCTCCCTGATTACTGCTAAATGAACAGAGAAATCAAGTGGAAGTAAACTGAGCCCAAATATTTCTGCCCTGTATAAGAATCGAACACAGAACCTTTAGGTTGTGATCTGACTGCACTACAGAACTCATTGTACATGAACTTTTAATAGCTCGGTTAGTTAACATTTAATTTAATTATTTAGATCTATGAAAACTAAGCAAGGAAAATTGTCCTGATGCATAGTGACTCCTGGAAATGGTACAATATGACTTGCTAAGCAAGAAAGGTCAGCCAATTTAAACTAGTAATGGTAAGGCAAAACTTTAAATTAACATATAGCCTTTATATCCACTGCACCGCGCATAGTGCCTTTAGGCGCTCTGAGAGTTGTGCTTTTTGTTTTTTAATTAGGCTATATTTTAATGATTTTTAATGTTTTCATTACTCTGTGTGTTTTGAAACGGAAATAGTTGACTTTGGAAACACTTTGACATTAACTTTACCTGAACATTTATAAAAATAACAAAAATATGTCCTTAACAATTGCACCAAGACGTTTTTGCCGAAAATAGGCGAGCAGGGCAAGGGATATAATTAAACAAATCCCAATACAGTATATGTTGTAAACTGGAACTTGGTCAGAATTGTTAAAAGATGACTTGTCCTGGTCAAATGGTAAACTGGCATTTCAACAATGCTTGTTTTCCAATTGTAAAACCAATACAGTATATAGGATTTATCAGTATAAAGGTTAGGTTAGGCTGTGTTGAGTTGGATTAGATTAGGTCGAGTTATATAAATGTTTCATCCACTGCTATGCCCAAAATGCTGTGCATATAGGCTTTAGGCATAGAATATACTTGCTCTTATCAAGAAATCCAACATTCTGCTTGTAACTCATTTTGTATGTATGTACTTTTCCCTTAAAAAAAATTATCATTTAAATATAACTTCATTTTCTGGGAGAGGAGAGAAAACCACGACCCATGATAATGGTTTGCAGATGTTCAGTATCCATTGATGTCATTAGCGTCATCAAGTTTTATACCTCTCGACAACATACTGTGGTATACTGTATATACTCTGTAGTACAGTTGGGTTCATTCTCGACTCACAATCAGGAATCCTGGGTTCATATTCCGGGCAGGACAAAAATGGTTGGGGGACGTTTCACATTACCTAATGCACCTGTTCACCTAGTAAGTGGAGTAAATAGGTACCCAGGTGTTAGTTAGGATGTGGCCCCTTGTTGAGGGGGTTGCATCCTGGGGAGGGTCGGTAATTTGACCCTTGGGGGGGGGGTGATATAAGCCTAATTTAATAACTTAATATAGTATAGTGTATATATTTTATTACAGTGTACATATGCACTGGATGCCTATAACCCCAACACAATGAATTATTTAATTATATGCCTAACGTGAATATATTGTTGATTATATACCTGTATATTATATATATATATATAATGTCGTACCTAGTAGCCAGAACGCACTTCTCGGCCTACTATGCAGGTCCCGATTTGCCTAATAGGCCGTGATTTTCTTTATTTGCAAAAAAAATTTCCAATTGGTTTATTTGAAATATTATTATTATATTATTTTATAAACATAAATTACTGACTTAGTTATGTTAATTTCGGTTAGGTTAAGGTAGGTTAAGTTAGGTAGGGTAGGTTGGGTTCGGTTTTATATCTACGTTAATTTTAATGCAAATTAGAACAAATTAACTCATACATAATGAAATGGATAACTTTATCATTTCATAAGAAAAAATGACAAAAATATATAAATTCAGGAAAACTTGGCCTATTAGACAAGGCCCGATTTGCCTAATATATATATATATATAGATATATAGATAGATAAATAGATATAGATATAGATAGATATATAGATAGAGATATAGATATATAGACAGGATGCCTGTCAGACAAAATTAAATTAACAAACCTGGTTAATGGAGCCGCCTTGATTTCCAGGATCATAATTTTTATTAGTGAGCTGTGTGTGGGGGTCCTGGTGGGGGTCCCGGTGGGGGTCCCAGTGGGGGTCCCGGTTGGGGTCCTGGTGGGGGTCCCGGTGAGAAGCACTGGCAGCTTCCCGAGCTAACACATCAAAATGAACAGGAATTTGGCGTCGCTGGTAAAGTATATACTTCAACATGTCTTCCACAATTTTCATGCATAAAGAAACTGTAAGACTTGTTCGTAGGTTCACAGTAATATCGATGTTTTCCTTGATGGGTTTCCTGATATGAGGGTAGTGTTCCATGGCTCGACGAGCGATGTTACAACAAGAGGTGCAAGGTGCTACTGAGGCTCCAAGACAGTGTTACCAGATTGGGCTACAAGTTGCGAATTGGGCTACTCTCACCTTTTTCAAATCAAAATGTTTATTTAGGTAAGGTGCATACATAAAAGAGATTTTACAAAGAGTGCTGGATTTATAGTTAGGGCTAGTACATACAATGCCTAAAGCCACTATTACGCAAAGCGTTTCGGGCATTTTGTTTTTTATTTCGCTACTTGCGACTTTTTAGGCTAATTTAAAGGCAAGTTGGGGTATTGATATTAAGAAACTCAATGCTACGAAGATGGTAAGAACAAAAACGTTCCTAAGTACTTGCGTAACTTTAGTTTTAGTTTAGTTCATTTATTATGCACCCCATACCCATCCGGTGGGCGGTAGAGGCACATAGTGGAAAGGGTTACAGAGGCACATAATGGGCTCAGGGACTGAACCCCACAATTGCTTCGTGAATCTGGCCCCTGGCTGACTGACCTCGTTGAGTTTGCATTGAAAATATAAAGTTTACCAATCAGTAATGCCCTGGTTGAACAGGTATTTTCGAGAGTAACGTAAAACCTAAACTGGGAAATCGAATGGGACTATAGACATTTAGACGTCAATCTTAAAAACCGATTAATAAATAAAAACTAAAAATATTTTTTTTATTAACAAACTTAGGTATACACAGCAATGTGCTGCTACCCTATTATATATGAAAGATTACACAGTGTAGATAAAAAAAAATAGCTATAAGTTCAACACTATGCCTAAAGCTATTAATTGATACGCACAGCGTTTCGGGCAAGATGTGGGAAAAACAGACTAATACTTAAAACTAATTGAGATCAATGCATAAATTGAATTGAAAAAGGGAAAAAAGAATGATAATAATTACATGATGGACGGAACAGCAGAAATTGAAAAAGAACAACAGAAGTAATTTTATCTAAATCAACAGACTACAATTTTCTTCAAGTTGATATCTTATCAACTTGGCTCTCCATGGCGGATATCAGCAGTTATACAAGTTGGTCAATAATCAATATTGTTTGAAAATAGCAAGATATAGGTTGATATTTAGGGGGTAAGGTAGATTACATGGAGTTTATTAAGTAGTACTTGGTTTTTCTCTTAAACTGGTTGAGAGAAGGACAGTCTTTGATGTGATTAAGAAGGTCATGCCATATTCTGGGTCCCTTGATTTGCAGAGAATTTGTCCTTTGGTTAAGTCACACTCTTCGAATATCAAATAGGTATTTGTTCAGAGGCACATAATTGGCTCAGAGCTCAAAATACCTCATAACATTTGGTCTGAAATCACTGATAACAGGACAACAACACTATATCTGTGGTTGCCCTGTTATCAGTGACTTCATACAAAATGGTATGAGGTACTTTGAGCTCTGTAATTACTTCATACACTCAGGAATATTGGAAGATATTCTTGTGATGTACCCAGATTTTGCTAGTGGACGCTAATAGAACAGCCTTACATTTCTTGTTCTCTCCCGATTCCATGTATGACTGGCCGTCCTGTGAGGTGTGGATGTTGGATGAGCTTGTAGCTAGTTTTTTAATCTACACTGTGTAGTCCTTCATACAGAATAGGGTAGCAGCACATTGCTGTGTGTACCTAAGCTTGTTTTAAAAAAGAAAAGACATTGTTTGAGAGGAGTCTCGTAGAAACTGGTACGAGTAATTGTAATGTAAGATTTTCTTGATTCAGTGCTTATAGCTCTTGTGAAAACCGTGAAGTTGTTGTTTAGTCAAAGTTTATTTGTTGTTTTGTATTGAGGCAGGTATTTTCTTCCCTGATTCCATGTATAACTAACCATCTTGTGAGATGGGAATATTAGATGAACTTATTGCTAGTTTTTTATCTACACGTGTAATCTTTCATATAAAATAGGGTAGCAGCACATTGCCGTGTGTATCTGTAACGGTTCTATTGTTACGTAAAGTATGGTGACAAATAAACACAGACACTAAGATACTATATATATATTTGGTCGAATATACAGAAGTACACCGGTGATACTTTGGTGTGAGTTGAGCGCACTGAGCGTCGGTACAGTATCTCGCAAGTGTCTGCTCTAGACCACACTTGAAAGTAGACTAGTTAATGTTTGCTATTATTGCTGCTTATATTGCTCGGGCAACACCTCACCGTGTTGCCCGGGCAACGCCTCACCTCATTCATCTCCAAAGGTTGACAGGAATATTAACACTATATTTGGAGCGAGTATATTATTGGGATAATCTACTCGCTACAGAACTCCCCCTCCCAGGGGATGAAAGGAAAAATACTTGATCAAGGAACTTAACTGGTCGGTGAATTGTACGCCCTGCTCGCGTTACATAACCATCAAAGTTAACTTCCTCCTCTTCGCTGATGTGATCTAACTGGGGTCGTAGGGTGGGAGGTCGCACAGGATCGTCCGTCGTCGTAGGATCAGGTTGTGGTGCAGCTGGTAACTGGGGTTGTAACATGGGAGGTCGTACAGGATCGTCCGTTGTCGTAGGTGGCGGTGCTGCTGGTAACTGTGGTCGAAAAGTGAACTGCGTAGTCGGCGGATGTGTCTCTGGATTTAGCAGTGTCGCAGACGTTGAGACGAAGCCTGGAGCAGAGCAGAGAGCTGAGTGAGGCCGGAGTCGTGGAGCTCTATGTGGGAGAGCGTGGCGGCTCAATTGAGAATTGTGAGTGTCTGAACTCGGGGAGCGAGAGCGTGGCGGCTCGATGCGGTCGTAGTCTGCTGTCTGCTCTGTGTCGAAGCTGTAGCGTCTTGGGTTGATTAGGACTGTACACGCCGAGTACTACATTGTTGACTGTGGAAATTGTAGTCTGGTACCAAAAGATGTAGGCAGTGTGTGGACAAGCTCGGTGTAGCAGGAGAGAAGAATGTGCATAATTGTTGCGTCCTTGGGTCGCTGGTGGAGCATTTAGATCCGGGGCGGATGGGCTCGGGCACCAGGACATTAGGAGGTAATGTAGGCACGTAGTTAGGACAACGAGGTAATCACATCTAGAGCTGAATTGTCCTGAAGGCGACGAAGTGTCGGAAACGCAAGCTGTAAGTCCTGTACTGCGCAAAGGGCTTGAGTCGGCCGAGTATCAAAATGCAGTGAACGTGTAGATGAATCCGATGACAGAGCAGCTGTCGTGGGCGTAGGACAAGCTGTGCCCTGGCAGCGACGGAGAGTCGGCAGGACAAGCTGTAGATCCAACATGATGTAATCATTGATGAGGCTGTCAGATGAGTGAGTAACGATCGTGGAGCAGCAAGCCGTAGTAGATGAAAATGCAGAGATGGACGCGATGAAAATCATAGCTGTGGCGAGGGTGTTGGCAGTGTTCCATCACAGCAAACAGTAGCAGTAGAGGTCCAGTGAGAGTCCATGTTGTAGTCCATCGTGGCTGGGTATAGTCGAAACTCTCCGGGGTCACCAATGTAACGGTTCTATTGTTACGTAAAGTATGGTGACAAATAGACACTAAGATACTATATATATATTTGGTCGAATATACAGAAGTACACCGGTGATACTTTGGTGTGAGTTGAGCGCACTGAGCGTCGGTACAGTATCTCGCAAGTGTCTGCTCTAGACCACACTTGAAAGTAGACTAGTTAATGTTTGCTATTCTTGCTGATTATATTGCTCGGGCAACACCTCACCGTGTTGCCCGGGCAACGCCTCACCTCATTCATCTCCAAAGGTTGACAGGAATATTAACACTATATTTGGAGCGAGTATATTATTGGGATAATCTACTCGCTACATATCTAAGCTTGATAATAATAAAAAAAAGGCACTGAACCCCACAATTCATCTAGCAAAGCAAGTTACAATGTTGATAAGTGACTTCAGACCAAATGGTATGAGGTACTTTGAGCTCTGTAATTACTTCTTACACTCAGGAATATTGGAAGATATTCTTGTGCTGTATCCTGATTTTGTTAGTGGAGGAGAGCTAATGTCAAAATTTATGTTTGTCCTGCACACCGCCCCCCATCCAGTGGGCAGCGGTGGATAGGTTACAATCACTCAGTTACTACCTACAGTTAGTAAGCTCTCCACATATGTCAGTTGCTTAATTTAGAACCTGTACTTGAGGTCGATCTCGAACCCATTGTTGATGTGACGACTTATATTGAATTTTGTAACTAGCTCATCAAGATTGTAACTTGCTTAGCTAAATGAATTGTGGGGTTCAGTCCCTGAGCCCATTATGTGCCTCTGTAACTCTTTCCACTACCGCCCACAAGATGGGGTATGGGGTGCATAATAAATGAACTAAACTAAACTGTTAGTGGAGGCTAATGGATCAGACTTTATTTTTTGAAAAACTAATCTACAAGCAGCTTTACTCTTATCTAGCCAAACACAATATACTTAGCTCTTGCCAATATGGCTTCAGACCCAAAAAAGCACTAACGATGCACTTATTAGTATGATTCACTTGATAGATGCAGCTCATGGTAAAAATGTATTCCCTGTTGGTTTATTTGTTAACCTACGTAAATCTTTTGACACTGTCAACCACTAAAAACCTTTTCCTTAAATTACATCATTACGGCATCAGAACTCACTCTCCCTCCAATACCTTCAGTCTTACCTTACTGACAGGCTCCAGTATGTTTCTGTGAATAATTCTATTTTTCCCACCCTACCCATCAACATTGGTGGTCCACAGGACAGCATACTTGGCCCTCTCCTCTTTCTTATCTACATTAATGGCCTTCCAAATGCCTCTCAACACCTCAAATCAATCTTATTTGCTGATGACACAACCTTCATTTTCTCCAGTCCTGACCCTTTTGCCCTAAATGCCACAGTGAATGCTGAACTTAATAAGGTCCATCTTTGGCTAACTGCTAATAAACTCACATTTAATTTTGACAAAACTTTCTATATTTTATTTGGTAATAAATCCTAAAATAAAATTAATCTAAGAATAAACAATATCCAGATCAGTAGCAAAGTAGATGGCAAATTCCTTGGTGTTCTCATCGATAACAAGCTGAATTTCCAGGGACACATTCTTAATATAGCAAAA